TATCATTTACAGTGTAATCAGTGAGGGGATTCTGCAGACTGTTGAGGGTTCAGCCTCCTTATGAGTCGGTGAAACTCCGACGAAACAATTTGTCACAGCCCCTCGTTTGTTGTCCTCTTCTCTCTCTCTGCCTACGGTATACCGGGCAACTCTGTTTGTGACGATATATATATATATATATATATATATATATATATATATACGTGGCGAGCCTTGTACGTTAGAGGCACAGTGGAGGAGGCGTTAAGAAGACTGAGAAACTGAATGATTTCGATGTGTCTTTGTTTTTGATCCTTTGATTCAGTGTAAATAATTTTTGTAAAAGACTGAAAGAAATAATAATACTGTGAAACAAAGTGTCATTCTGGTTTGTCTGTCTCTTTGCCTCTCTTTCCTTTCATTTTTCTTTTCTTTGCTCATCTTATTTCTTCTTCTACTTCACATGCTCATGCTCTTAGTCAATAGTTCTGTGACAATATATATATTCCCACAACCAGTTCTCACAACCAATTCAAAATTACAACCAGTTCAAATCGAGGACATAAAATTCCCATGATTATCACGACGACAATGACATCGATGTAGTACGTGACACCATCACTCTTGCGCAACGGACACCTCCTGCGAAAGCACGACGCCGTCAAAGTCGAGGCGGTGAGCGGCACAATCGTTGTCGGAGTCGGAAGATGACTTTTCGTCATCTGAAGCGGATTCGCTTCCCGCCTCTACGAAAACATTGTCACCTTCGGCCACAACACCCTCCACCGCACTCTCAACGGCATCAGGGAGTCCATAATCAGCTTCCTCATCATAATGCTCAATAACTGGGTCGTCGACGTCCGATTGCTGCAACATGTTATGTGCCCAGTCTCCGACCCGAGGGCTGCCGAAAACTTCAGTTGCAATGTCGAAGCGCCACGACGTTGTCAGGCGACCACAAGCAGTGCGCCGCCTGAGATCTGCAGTTTTGGGACTTAGTCTCAGGAACAAATCCGTGTTTTGATGGTAGTCTCGTATGACTAGGCAGCAAAAATTAGGGGAACTCATGGCACTCCTGGTTTTGGACGCACTGAGCCTTATGAGTAACCCTCAAAGATGGCGAGATGGGTGGCCGCACTTGGCATGTCTAGGGACTGACATTTCYGACTATTCAGAGGGTTAGACCCGGATTGGCCTGCCGCGGAGAGGCATCAAGGGAGTTGACCTCGCCGCAACGTTTTTGCAGCATACGACCGGGGCGAAATGAAGCCTTAAATTTTTGTCTATTTTAGTAGCGTAATTAAAGATGGGAAGAGGGATTAAGACCAGAAGGGGAGAAGGGAAAAACATAATATCCCTTAATTTCTTTATTTTTCACGACATTTAATTCTAGGGGGAATACCTTTGTTATTTTATTTTCCCGACAATTAAGTTCAGAACATAGAAAAAGATTAAAAACGGTAAAAGAGAAAAGAAACAAAAGGGATTCGGTCATTTATTTAAACTTTCTCGGAATTGAATTTTATGAAACTTACGGTTAATTTACTATTTCCGACAACAGAATTAAGGAAAGGGAAGAATGATTAAAAACGATGAAAGGGACGGAAACCCATGACTGTTGGAAGATTGGCCTAATTTCGCCTTGATTACCCGCCAACAGCTCTGACCCCGGATTGATCATTTACCCCGGATTGATCATTTTCCCCGGATTTTAAACAAGTTTTTACTACTGTCCATGGTCGAGGTTCCCTGCGTCGCTTTCCCTGGTTTGCTTGATTTCAACATTACCGCAGTTGGGATGTTCTGAGAGCGGGAGTGGCATGGACAACATGGGGGGGTGCTACCTTGGGTCGACAGTATGGTGTTTGGTTCGGTACAGATACGGGGGTTGTTGCGGAATGATTACGTACTAAGGTTTCCAACACGCTTCAGGTTCGGTATGGGCCCGGTGACAGTTGTTTCACTACGGTGACTTATTTTTAGGGTTGGGATAGCTGCGGTGATTTATTCACAGGACCGGGGCCACTATGACAGTTATTCCAGGTTTGGGACCTTGACGGCAGTTTGTTTTCAGGTCCGGAGACGTTGCGGCGTCCTATATCAGGTTCGAGACCTCTGTGGTGATTTACCTTCAGGTCTGGAGCCACTATAACGATGTATTTCAGGTTCGGGATCCTAGTGGTAATTTATTTTCAGGCTCGGCGGTGATTTTTTTTCAGCTCCGGCACCGCTGCGGCASACTATTATCCGGAWTCGGCACCCTCRCGGTGGCAYGTGTCAGGTTCGGTGCCATKRAGACAATTTATWGGGGACACTGTGGCGACTTATTTCAGGTACGCCGCCGCCACGGCGGCTTATTTCAGGTTCTGCGGCTTCGGGACGATTTATTTTCAAGTTTGGAGACTGCCGCGGTGGTCTGTCTAAGGCCTGGAACCTGGACGGTAGGTTATTCCAGGTTCGGTGCTATCACAGGTAATTAACTCAGGCTCGGCACCATCACTGCGGCCATCTATACCCGGTTTGGTACCACGACGCCCAGTTGTTGACCCGAAGACGGTGCTCACGTACCACCCGTACTGAGCCTGTGCTGGGCCTGGTACCGACGGTCTCGGCAGTACAAGCAAATGTGGAATGAATATAGGGGGGGACAGAGGAGAGAAGGGGACAGCATGCAAGGTGTACCTGGCCCACAACATAGTGGGATCCGGGCAGGTCAACGGGGAGGGGAGCAACATGCAAGGCGTCCCCCGCCCACGTAGCAGGCACAGCGGGAGCGAGAGACTGCGGGTGAGAGAGAGAGTAACTGTGCAGTGTGTGAGAGAGTGAAAGACTGCACAGATAGAGAGAGAGTGTGCGCAGTGAGAGAGAGGGAATGCACTCATAGAGAAAGACAGTAAGTAAGAGAGAGAGAGAGGAAAAGAGGATCCTGTAGTGAACTAGCTGATGAGAAAGAGAGGGAGGAAGCAAAGTGGGAGAAAGCAAATACAGTTGGCTCGCCGAGTGCGGGAA